GATAAAATACTAATTATGATTGTTGGGAAAACTAAATGTACTAATGTATGCCACTAGCATAGGTCTAAAATCCTCCATGAGTGTTCCAGAAATGGACGTGATCATGGTTAGTTACTGTCTGCCAAGTCTTGGGTGCTAAGCCCACATCAGCCAGCCAGAGATGTGCCAGAGAATGCCTCAGCAGCCAGCAGCCTTCTCCAACTTGGAAACTCATAGTGTCTGAAGAACAGGAAGTGGTGGATGCTTTGGGACACTCTGGAGGTAGCACTCCAGTGATGACTTTAAAAAGCTGGGGAGAATTTAGGGGACCATACAGTTCAAATACAGAAAACTCATTCCATGTCTACAAATATTCATCTCTAGCCATGATGATTCAGAAAGGAAATACATATTCAAACTTACACCAATTTCCCACATAAGTGCATCAAAACAACTTGGAAAGAATGTAACTTTCTTCTCTAGATCACACAGCGGGGATTACAAGGTTTGTACTGAGAGCTCTACTTGTAAAACATCTGCTAATGTAACTGGGTCCACTATCAGTCATCATCATTCAAAGAGAAGGATGGAAAAGAACAAAGCCAAGCTAATACGCTCCAGTCTTTTGTTTGGTTATGATGTCACAGAGGAGACGGACAGCTCAATAAGGAACCACTCTGCTGTGATCACGGAGCCGGGGAGTGGGATGTGTGGCAAGATGTATGACGCAGCCATAGCTGTGCCCGTGCTTCTAGGCAGGTACCCAAAGTCACCCTGACAAGGTGTCAAACGTTTATGCCCACGTCCTCATCACCTGACATGTATTAAAGAGAAATGAAAACTTATAGATGGCCAATACCCTTGGTGGGTACACCTTCCAAAGAGCAAAGTCACAGTTTGACAACTGGCCATCTCTGTTCCCTGGGATTCATTCTTGGAGAATCTTAAAAACCACTCCTCTGTCCTCAAGAAGTGCTGCCTACTTGTCCTATCTTTGGCACAGGGATGGAGCACGTTCAAGTGAACTTTAATGTCTGCACAGATTTGACTGCCTTTCTCCAGGTTTACTTGTCCATCCTGAAGAGGCCTGAATTAAGTCCATCCTCCATAAGATCAATTCCCTCCAGTGACAACTCATTGAGCCTACAATTAAAAGCCAACTGAACAGGACTGTCCTCAGCTAAAAATGTCACCCACCCTTCACTGCTTTCTGAATCTCCTCTCCTGGCTAAATGCAACAGTTTAATACCTCCCTCCACCCAGATCCCCAACTATGTCAAACAGAAAATAAGGTCCATAAAAGAGGACACAACTCCATAGTCACTTCTGAATTCCTAGCATATAGTAATGTCAATAAATAGAAATATGATTATGGCTTCTTTCCTTTAAAACATTTCTGGTTATTTAAATGAGATCTTGGAAGAGAGGTGTTTGAGTCCAGTATCTTGATCCACAAGACTCTGGAGGCCTTTTTCAGAATGGCTGTCCACTGATGCATTCAAAACACAACTTCTCATTCCGGGAGGAACTGTGATTTTCTGCCAGGAGTTTGTGGTCACTCTCATGCCAGAACAGCTTTAAACTATATCCTTACTTTGGATTTGTTATTTTTCCCCTCTTCCAACAAAATTGACTTTCCTTACTTTCTTGCCTTGAGGAATTTTTTCTTTCTTTCTAATTCACCCTTTAGTAAAGCAGGATTCTCAGGATGTGCTTGGCCTTACATAGGAACAGCCATCCAACTCCCAGTGTGATAGGCCTCGGGCTCACCTCCTGCCCTCCTGCCAGGGCAACTGAAACTCAGTTCAGGAGCCAACTGGCACCCCAGGGCTTCTACAGCTCACGTATCTCCCAGAATCTGCTTTCTGGTTTGTCTTGGCTTCTGAGGATTTCCCCTCACTTTCTTGACAATTAGCTGTGCAGCTTGAAACATGAGGAAGGAAGGTTTTATTTCTTAATCAGCATTTTAAGGAACTTATGTAATGAAGGTTTTCACGAGTTTCTAGAACCCTCCATTGCCGAGATAGAAAACACACTAGATATTTTCTAAATTTGGGTATCATGTGCATTTTTCTTTTCTTTTGTTTTCTTAACTGCTAACAGACATTTTTTAATTAAAAAAAAAATAAGGCCCCAAATAGGATAGAAACTTGAAGGGGCAAACAAAATTAAAGGGCAAAGACAGAAAAACGATAAGTACTCTACAAAGTTAATAGAATACATACACTATGGATCAGATCAGCAATTCTCAGTAACAGCTAATTGAAACATGACCATGAGGTAAAATGTCTCTCCGTTCAGGAGATGGCCAACAGAAGATAGAATTAAAATAACAAACTAAAATTCTAAGTCTGGCGAGGTCCAGAAGGCTACCAGCTCTTTACTGTGGGGCCTGAGCCTAGGGGAGGGCGGTGAAGTGAGCTCTATTAGTACCCAATTAGCAAAGTGAGTGATGAATAAAGGGACATGAGCTTTGATGACAGAGATGATGCTACTATTCACTTGTCCTGTAAAGTATGTCTTCACGTTCAGTGATCAATACCTCGGCATCCTCAGGGATTGAGATTATAGGAAAATGGACAGCCTGGGCTCAGACCTCCTCTGTGAGCTCGTGACACTGCACTTAGATGTCTCAAGGGCACCTCCAACTCCACCTGCAAAGAGTTGACTTCACGGTGCTCCTCCCACAGCCATCCTGCCCAGGGCCCCTGGTCGTGGGGCAAGGTCTCCCTGCCTCTCCCAGCTCAGGACCATCACTCACAGATGTGAATGGACCCCTCCTTCAGGGCCCAGATTTCCTCAGTCACCGAGTCCCACCACCCTCACCTGACCTACCAGGTACTCACT